ACCAGGTGACGAGGATGCAGAAGGCACTGATGGCACGATGCGGCGCCATGGTCGACTTGGTGTAGCTGAAATGCAGGAGATAATCGGCTGTAGCAGTTTGTTTCAGGAAGAGAACGACAGTTTCCATGCCCCATTGGGCGACGCGGTGGGGCTCGAACAGCTGCCAGAGCCGGCGACTACGCGGCTGCCGGCGGCTGCGGGATGCCAGCGGGCTGATGCTGAAGTCCGTGTTTCCCCGGCCGGAGCAGCGGTAGGGTACTCCGTCGGGAGGACTATGGCAGCGGCAGCACAGTCCAGCTCTGTGGGGTCGGCGGCTGCCAGTGTAGTCGTCCAGGAGCAGGGTGCAGATGATGATCTGCTGCTGCAGGATGAGTTGCAAGACCACCAGGGTTACGGGACCCAAGAGAAGGGCGGTAGTCCGGAACACCGAGGCGGCGAATTGCATTCCAAGTCCGGGTCTTTAGGGGATGTCAGTTCGTTCGCAGTGCAGGGGTTGCAGCTGCAGCAGTCGTGGCCCAGCGCACAGGGCTGCACGGATGCAGGTGGCAGCGGCGAGCAAGACAATGCAAGGGATGATGGTGTCGCCAGTGATGCCGGGCGCAGTGATTCTTATAGTGATGACAACTGTTTAGCGTCCATGAATATCGATGATGATGCCACCGCTGAAGCAGGATCACAGTTGCACAGCCATGGATTCGCTGATGAAGCTCTGCTGCACATCCTTCCATCATGCGAGGTATCTTGGGCGTCTGAGACGGAGATTGTCGCCGAGCTCAGCCGTGTGTGGGACAGCACGGCGTCCCGCCGAGGAACGGGTGGCACGGATGCCGGGAGTGTGTCTGTCGTGGTGGCCGCCGCAATTACTGCAACGACCGCCGACGCTGCGGCAGATGCTGCAGAAGACTGGCCGGCTGATGAGCTGGTCCTGGCTGCTGAAGATTTAACAGCATTAGACACTGCACGGACCTCAGTTTCAGACGACCAGAGCGGCGCATGGGTGATTGAACACCTGCCGCCGCCAACGGCAGACGCTGGAAAACTTCCAGCTCCCACACAGGCGAGCACACCACGGGAGGTGCTGCAGGCCGCTGCTGCGGCACTGGCCGCACACGGGAAGGAAGAAGGCGGCGGCAGCTGCAGGAGCGGGCCCTCCTTCGGTGGTGCGGCTGCAGAGAAGGCTGGCGTAACTGGCAGCGTGGCAGCTCGCCAAACCACAACATCACTGCTCAGCAGTGCGGCCGTTGGCACGAGATCGCCAGCCACGTCAGCAGCTACGCGTAGCAACTGGACCGTTACGGAGGGCGGCAAGGCCCTGCGGTATGATGACGCTAGCGTGTACCGCAGCAGCTGCAGCAGCAGTACGGGGGTGGCCGCCAGCGAGGGTTCGGACGAGGGACTGTCAGTGCCGGACGATGCAACACCGCGTGTTGATAGTAACATTAACACGTACAGATCCTGGCAGGTGGGCTCCTGTTTACTTGGGGGGTTGTGTGGGCCGGGTCTCGGAGCAGACTGGTGCTTCCGACATGCCTTCATCGACGACGTAACACGGCAAAATCTGTAGGTCAAAAAAGCACATGAAATGTGTGAGCTGGTTGCATATCGGTCTGTACCATACAGACAGCCGTGCAAACATCCCTCAGGCCGGCATGTATGATATCCAACGTGGGCCTTTGGCATGGCCACAGCTCCCTACCCATCCTGGCGCTTCATTTACCGCTACTACTTTCACACCACTTAAACATCCTCGCATGTGTTCCACGTGCAGATCCAAGAAAATCCAGCGTTCGAGGATCTGGATTTGGACGCACCGGATGACGCCTCTGGGCTGCGTTACGATGCCGACCAGGACCACCCGAGCCCTCCAGTCGACGCCGTTAACGTGCCAGGGGCTGCTGTGGCGGCGGCGGCGGCGGCAGTCCTCTCCGGCGGCGACGCCCATGCACGTGAAGACGCCCACGCCATGCGTCGCAAAACCACCGCTGTCCCCAGCATCAGCCTTGTCGCCGCGAGTGGACTAACAAGGAATACCGCCGTACCTGTAGCAGTCAGCGCCGCTGCCGCCTCCATATCTTTGCCCATGTTCACCCAGCCGCCGGTAGGCAGCCGCCTGTCAGACTTGAGCCCCAGCGCCAATGAGCCCCGGAGCGGCCATAGCTCCGACAGTGACAGCCCACGCACGGCTGCCTTCAACCGCGTACTGGCTTCCAGCGGGTTGCGCTCGGACACACGGTCCAGGGGGAGCAGCATCCTGCTGGGTCACCGAGCGCCACCGCGCGGCGGCGGCTTTTTGAACGGCTCAGCGGCCGCGGCGGATGACGATGCCGATGACCGACGGGATACCGCCACCAGTCGTGCCATGGGCAGCCAGAGCACAGGTGGCTTAGGTATGGGCGCTGCTAGCAGCTGGGGGCCTGTCTCTGCCATTCGAAGCGTGGAGGACCGGTCGCTGATACTGGAGCTTGACCACGCGCACACTCTGCTGCTGCAGGCCCTCGCAGCAGCAGGCGAGCCGCCGCTGCTGAGCCCACCGCCGCCGCCGTCACCGGCACACGTGCCTAAACCGCGGACCAGGGCCGTCACGGCTGTGGACCCAGATCCGGAGGCAACAGCCACGCCTGTGGCTGTGTCTAACTGCGAAAGCGGTAGCCATGGTGATGGCGATGAATCGCTGCCGGCGCTGCACATCTCCTCATACGGCAGCAGCTTTGCCAACGGGATCGGCAGCCCGCTTTTGATGCAGGTAGCCGTGAGCGCCTTGGGCAAGGGGCTCATGCGCCTAACCAAGCTTGCACGTGAAAACCAGGGCTTGCAGCGTGTCAACGACCAGCTGCAGTCCGAGCTTTCGCACTCCAGCTCGAAGCACATGGAGCTGCAGACTCGCGGCAAGCTGCTGCACGCCATGCTGGCGGAGGTGAGGAACTTGCGGGAAAGGCTTTTCTCAAGGCCCAGTACATGCCATCACTCCCGGCTGCACAATACTCTAGCGGACATTCCACTGGCCTAACTCTAATACCTTTCCAATCGACTGACTCCTCCAAGTTCTCCGCGCTGCATACACCCCCTGTGGTGGCCTCGTCACACAGGGCACAGAGAGAACCACTGCACATTGCAAAAGTGATGTTTCGCATACTCAGATGCCTTTATTGCAATTTGGCTTTACCGACTGAGCGCTATGTTATCCCCCTTACACGATTGCATACATGACGTAATCGGTGTTCCATCCCAATCCATACTACCTGTAGACGCGATGTGTCCCTGTGAACTCACCCCTGCAGAGCACCCGCGAGGCTGAACGTAAGGCCCAGTCTCACCAGCGGCGCTTCCTTCACATGGACGCGCACCTCACCACCTCCCTGCAGCGCATACGGGAGCTGGAGCGCATCAACACACGGCTCAGCCTGGACAGCCGCCAGCTCGTACACCAGCTGCAGAAGGCACAAACCCGAATCGCCGCCGCCGACCTTGCCGCCGATAAGCTGCGGGCGCAGGTGGACCTTATGGAGCACCAAGTGGCTGCGGTGCACACCGCAGAAAAGATGAGCCAGCAGCTGGCGGCGGCGCTGGCGGAGGCCTCCAAGGCCAGGGCTGAGCTCCGACACCGGGTCACCTCCCTGGAGCGCAAACTAGAAGCTGCCCGCGCCGAGGGGGACGGGGAACGGCGTTCCGCTGCGGTGCTGAGGGAGAAGCTGGCTGCGCTGGAGCGGCAGCTGGTGACGACATGCACAGCGGCTAGTACTCAGCAGCGGGCCGCGGAAGAGGAAGCGAGCGCGCTGCGTAGCCGCGTGGCGGTGCTAGAGGCGCAGTTGGCGAGCCGCAGTGCGGAGGAGGCCGCTGCTGCGGCTACTCCAGAGCAGCTGCAGCGGGAGGTGGAGGGGCTTCGGGCGGAGCTGAAGCGGGTGCAAGATGCGGTGGAGGTGGAGCGGCGCCAAGCAGAAGCGGACGCCGCCGTAGAGGTAGGCAGCTACGAATGCATTGATATCTCGCTTCGTGGATGCATATCATAGAAGCCTAATAATCAGTTCTATCCCAGGAGCCCGTGGTGGCATGGTCTCGGTGATGTGTCTAGAAAAGGAAAAAATACAAGCCTTCTGCTTTCAGGTCAATGCCTTCTGCCTGCAGGTCGACTTTTTCAGTTGCTCAGGAGGTTGTGTGCGGTTGGCGAATGGATGTGTGTTGTCAGTATAGTTAAGCGGCCCTAGCTCTCACAAGCCTAATTACTGCTACGCTTGTGCCGGTGTCGCAGGAAGAGCAGCTGCTGTCCGCATGTGCCGAGGCCGAGGGGCGGGCGCAGGAGCTAGAAGCGCGGCTGGAGGCAGTGCAAGCTCAGGCTGAGGAACAGATGTCGCGGCTGGAGGCAGAGCTGCGAGCAGCTCTCACGGAGGTGGCCCGCCTACAGGCGATTGAAGCCTCGGCGGAAGAACAGTACCGACAGCTGCAGGGCGTGCGAGTGGCGATGGAGGAATTAGCCACAGAGCGCGCAGCTGCACGCGCAGAGGCGCTGCGCAAGGACGCTGAAGTGCAGAGGGCGTCTTTGGCGGCAGCGGAAGCGGCAAGTGCCAGGGAGCTGGCGGTAGCGAACTACACACGGGTGGCGGCTGAGGCGCGGGAGGCGCAGGAGCGTCACGAGGTGGCCATGGCGGAGGCAGCGGCAGCGAGGCTGCGGATGCAGTTAGATGCGGTGGCGGGGGAGGTGCAGCGGCTCAGCGAACAGGTGGTGAAGGAGGCGCAGCGGGCGGCGGAGGCGGAGGCGAGGGAACGGGCAGCGCTGGAGCAGCTGCAGGGCTCGGTGGCGGAAGCGGAGCGGGTGCGTTGCGAGCTGGAGGAGGCATACCGAGAGGTAATCACATAGCGGTAGTTGTCGTAAGGGGTTGCACAAGCACATCAACCGGGTCACCCTTCCATTCACTGGCGGCTGATGTCACCAGGTCGCCAGGTCACCCCTCTTCAGCCCACATCCCCTGCGTCCTTCATGCCCTCTGGCCCCCTGACTGACCCAGGCAGCCGCCGCGAAAGAGGCTTCGGCGGGCAGCGCTGCAGCGGTAGCGGAGCTGGAGATGGCGCTGGTGGCCGAATCCGCACGCGTCCTCGAGGAAGTGCAGCGCCGTGAGAAGGCTGCGGCAGTCCACCGCTCCGAGCTACAGGAGCTGCATTCTCAACTTGAGGCGGGGTATGCCTGCCAGCACCGTGCTAATGCGGAAAATGCTGATCTACAGGTCGCACAGCGCACCGCACAGGAGCAGCTCGTGCAGCTCTCCGCACAGCTCACAGCCGCGCGCAGGGAGCTGGAGTCCCTCTATCAGGAACGGCAGCAGCTCCATACAGACCATGCTCAGCAAGCGGCTGTGGCACGGGAAGAGACCGCTGCAAGGCTGGCTGCCGCCCACCAGGAGACCAACTCCCTGCGAGTGCGTCTCACCGAAGAACAGGCCGACCAGCAGCGCCTGCGCGCGGAGCTGCAGGCAGCAGAACAGGAAGCGCGTGCCGCGAAGGAACACTTGGCTGCAGCCCAGGCGACCCATGGGTCGTTGGAGGTAGACCTGGAGGACCTCCAGCAGCAGCTCCTCGAGGCGCGCGACGCCCGTGTGGAGGTACAGTCGCAGCTAGCGGGGACAGAATGCGAAAAGGCCGTCTTGGCAGAGCGGGCACGGCAGCTACGGCTGGAGTTGAACGAGCAGGCCGCCCTTGCACAGCAGGCAGAAGCCCGCGCTGTGAAGGCGGATGCGGATTTGGAAGAGGTTCAGCGCCAGCTGTTGACTGCACGGGGCGAGCTGGGCAAGCTGGCGGAAGCCCTGGCCACTGCGGAGGCCACCTTGAGCGAGCGGGAGGCGGAGCTGCAGCGGCTCTGGGAGGAGTTGAAGTCCCTGGAGGGAACGCACTTGCAGGTGCGCGAGGAGGCGCAGGCCCGGAGGGTGGAGGCTGAGGCCGCCGCCTTAGCATGTGCAGGGGCGGAGGCGAGGGCGAAAGCGGCTGAGTCGGCGTGTGCGGAGACGGAAGCGAGGGCAGAGGCAGCAGAGGCGGCGTGCGTGGAGGCGGAGGCGGCGCTGTTCGTCGAACGCAGCAAGGCGGCGGACCTGGAGGCGGAGATGCAGGTGGCCACACGGCGGATGGTGGAGCTGCAGAAGGTGGTAGAGGCTAAGCCCGGCGCTGCTGCGGCTTCCGCGCCCGGGGGCCCCCTTGAAGAAGCGGTGCGAGCAGCGTGTGAGCGCTGCCAGCGGCGGTTGCTGTGCAGCGCAGCGGAGGTAGTGGCCTCGTGCGCGGCGGCCGTAGCATTGCTGCCACCGCGGTTGGACGAGCGAGGGCCGTCTGACGGCTACTGCGCCGCCCAATCAGAGCTGCAGGGCGACGATGGGGCCTCAGCACCCGCCTCTAAACCACAAAGTACGCTGGTGGACGTTAGGAACGGCTGGACGGGTTTCAGAAACCGTGGGTCCAACAGTTCCAACTTGGACATGTCTTTCAACTGCCGTCGATGCATCATCATCATCATTATCATCACGTAAAAACTACCGTACGATGATCTGTGATGATGACGATGCTGGTGTTCAGAAACCTACAGGAGCCTAGTTGGACTTTGTGCTGCGCCCTCGTTCAGTCAACCTTCGTCCCATGCGCCCAACTGACGCGTTTCATTCGCGGCTATGTTGATCGCTCCCTTCCCCCCGGTGTAGGCCCCAACCGCCAGGTCGCCGCGACGAGCCAAGACAAGCCGGCAGACATCCGTCGTCGCCACGAAGACGCGGGGGAGCTCATCGTCGCCCTGCAGCGGGACCTGGAGGACGTGCGCGACAGGTGTACAGGGCTGGAGGCGCAGCTGCTCGCAAGGGAAGGCGAGTTGGCAGCCGTGCGCCGCGAGCGCGAGGATGCGCTGCTTCAGGTGCAGCTCCTGGGGGACGTGGCGCGGCACCGGAAGGAGGAGGCCTGCGGCTCCGGCTTGGTTGCCAGTGGTGCGGTGGCGGGACACAACTCCCCCGCGGCCGACGGCGAGGGGCCCCTTAGTGCCATCGTTGTAGGCAGTGGAGGCGGCACCGGCGGCGGCGGCGGCGGGAGCTCCGGGGGGGGTATGCAAGTTGCCGTACAGCTGCTTGAGCTGCGCTATGCGATGCAGAAGGTGGAGCATGCGGCGGAAGAGCTGGCGGCTGCGCTGCTTGCCACGGAACGAGGCAACGGGTCAGGTGGGTCTGACTCCACATGTCAGGAACAACCCGGTAGGGTGCCGCGAGGTATGGATGATGGCTGCCGCAGGGGGAGAGACCCACCGTTGACGGTGCGCTGAGTGCAGCGTGGCGGGCGCACTGTTGGTGTTTGTTTGTCTCCTAGTCTTGCTTTCGTCACAGTTCTTTCGTCGCATGTGAACCGACCGCACCCCGACTAGGCACGTTCTATGTACCATGTACCTTATCTCATATGTTCTCACCTCATGTACCAAATTTATTACCTACCCCATGTAGCCCCTGGGTCCTCTCCCCTTGCCGCCATGGACTCATTCCCTCCGCCTACTGACCCTCACCCTCACAGCCCCCATCACGAACACCTTCTCAACACCCGCGAGGACCGACGCGTGCGGCTCAACCGGGGGCGGCGGCGGCGGCGGCTGTGGTGGCCGGCTTGGCGACGCGGCTGCTGATGAGGCCGCCCTTCACGCGCAAGCCTGGCTGGCGGACAGCCTGGTCGAGCTCACCAGGCAGGCCGGGTCGGTGGCCGAGCAGCTGGAGGGCTGCCTGGAAGCGGCTCTGCCCTCTCACGGCGCGAGGCCAGCAGCGGTGGTGGAGGCCGCAGATCAGGTAACTGCTCATCGGGTGGAGTGGGGAGTGGGCAAGGCAGCTGGAGGAGGGAAGGAGGAGGAGGAGGGCGAGGGAGATATCGGGCATCGACGTGTGAGTTGATGTTGGCAAGCGCAAGAGATATCAGATGTGATGTTTGATGGGTTCGTCTGTGAAGCAGGGCCCTCTAACGTCACTGGCTATCCGGGTGCTGGAGGCCGAGCTGGGGGAGCTGCGGCGGCAGTTCGAGGAGGCGCAGCAGCGGGCGGCGCAGGCAATGGAGCAGCAACACGTGCAGGTAGGCAACAGCCACGTGGCGGCGCGCTGGGGCTCCGCGCCGCCGGGTATAGGTGCATCTCGTATCCAGACAACCACATGCCACATGCAACAAAATGAAGGTGAAGGTTGACGGCATATCTAAGGTCGCGACGGCGTGGGAAACCTGAAGAGTGGCTTTCTGAGGCCACCTTTTGCATGTGATAGTGATGGTGATGGCGATGGTGATGGTGATGGCGATAGCGATGCTGTGCGGTGGCGTTCCTTTGGATGTTGCAGCACCTGGAGGAGTGTGTGGTCCTCCGAGCCGATGCCAGCCAGTACCGGCAGCTGGTGCAGCGCATGCGGGAGGAGCTCGTGGCTCTGGACCGGGCAAGACAGATGGACAAACTCATGGAACTCAGCGAGCGACGGGAGCAGGCAGAGGAGGCGCAGGTAAGGGGGGAAGGGGCGAGAGGTCATGGGGCTTCGGGACTAGATCATAGGCTCAAATACGAAGCCGTCCATGTGATCATGTTCATTAAGTTTGTAAGTCGAGAATTTCCACCTATAAAGATCTGACTTATCTGATGGTAAACTTTTAGTTAACTCATCCAGAACATGTTTTTTTTATACTTAGGGCGGATCAGGGCGCGCGTCCGGGGAGAAGAGGAGTGGGGGGGGGAGGGAAGGGCTATTATATTCTCCGACAGAGGTAACACCCGGGGCGCACGGGTTGGCCTGTGGTGAAGAAAAGGACAAGCGAGGAGGATGAATGGGATCAATTGATCCACTGGACTAGAGGCGGCACATTTCATGCAGTCCGCACCCAAAACATATCACTCTGCGCAAAACCGACTGGTGGCACGTCATACGCTTTGTGCATTGCTTTAGGAAAGAGGCCGTCGCAGCCTTAGGCTATGAAACCCCAAGAAGTCGTGATTCGCGCCCACAGCAGTGGCGATTGATATCCCCACGTCGTCCGGTTACTTTGATCGCAAAATGCCCTTCAGCTCCACGCCGAGTCACAACAGCGCATCGCCCTTCAGCTGGCTGAGCGGTGTCGGGAGCAGGAGGTCGTCATCGAGGAGCTGCGGCTGCAACTGGACCACATGGCCGCCTCGGCGGCAACCGGCAACCAACACCAACACCAACAGCAACATGAGGAGGTGGCGCGAGGCACCGGCACCACGAGCAGCTGCACCTCTGGGCCTGCCGGCCACCACAGCCGCCAGTTAGGCGGCCGCAGCTGCGGCGGCTACCGACCAGACCAGATATATACCGACCAGAACTCCTGTCACCATCACCACCAGGCGCACCACTGGCACCAGGAGCAGGCCTCAACTCGGGATGATGCAGACGGACAGTGGGAGAACGGAGCCCGCAGCCCCGCCCTGTCAAGCAACTATCACGGGAACTGTTTCAGTGACTCCTCCATGGGACAAACGTGTCCTTCTTCATCTGACGGGTGTGCGGCCGGAGATGTGGCGGACAGTGCGCGGAGCTGCGGCGGGAGCTATGATGGAGGGGACGGCGGCGGCGGCGGCGGCGGCTTCAGCAGTGCGGGCACTGCGGCAGCAGCCTTAGCCTCAGCAGCGCCTTGCCGTCAAGCTGTATCTGACATGAATGCCCACCACGGCGCCGCTACTGCAGCTGCTGCTGCGGCGGCAGCGGCCCGGCCGACCCGTACCTGGGCACCCAACACGCGCTCAGGTGCAGTGCAGAGGACTCCGGCGCTGCTAGCCAACAGGACACCCACAAGCTCCGACACACGGCTCTTCCGAGTGGACCTCCCACATGCGAACTTTGGACAGCAGCAAAGCCAAAGCTTCTTGGACTCCGAGAGCGTATTGGACCATCACCACCATCGCCACCACCACGGCCGCAGCGCAACACGTCCGACGGTAAGCGAAACTGGGATGTCGCAGACGACGGCGGCGGCGGTAGAGGAAGAGGTCAACAGCCGTGGAGATGTCCACTTCTATACGGCGCAGCCCTCGGCCGGCTCGTTGGGTGAGGACGAGGCGCGGCTATGGTGCGAAATGTTGCAGCTGATGAAGCCCACGGAAGGCGGTGTCGTCATCAGTGTGGGCGGCCGCAGCCGGGGTGTAAGCGGCGGCGGCGGCCTCCAGGCGGCCCAAGGCGCCGACACCGGGTCAACACCACCGCCGCCGCTGGCGCTAGTGCCGGGCTCAGGAGCCACATCAGCCGGAGGCAATCGCGGCGGCAGCGGCAGCGGGAGCGGCCTGCAGCTAGCGCATGTGGTGCCGGGCTCTGCAGGCGGTATGGCAGGCGAGTTGTGGTCGGTGGCGGCGGCGGGCGCAGCGTCCACACAGGGCCGTGCTGAGATGCTGGCACGTGCGGTCTCTCACATGTCCCTGCTGCACGCGCAGAACAACAAGCTGGCCCGGCTGCTCAAGGGGTTGGCGGCACGGCGCGGCGCGGCCCGGGGCGCGGGCGCAGTGGTGGAGGGCCTGACGGCACGTCTGCAGTTGATGCAGGAGGAGAATTCGGAGCTGTGGGAGAAGTACCACGCAGCGCAGGTGTGCACTGGCTGGGGTGTGCATTAGGCCACAGATTCTATGGGTCAGACATGGCTAGCCAGGAGTCTGGGGGTTGGGTGTGGGTTGTAGGAGGAGGCTGGCTGGGTGCTTTGGGAGGCAGGAGGTTCCGGTCCTCTGGGCGCCTGCTCAGCAGCAGCAGTCAGTGCGCGCACCCGACGTCGAGAGGGTGAACCTCGACGGAGATAGGATTAGCTCACACAACCCGTTCCCAGTGTCTGCCCACTACCAGCACCACCATTACCACTAACAATTACAATATTGACATTAACATCACCACATTAACAGCAACAATATCAACAACATATCCACCACTAAACCCACCTACCGCGATAACCCTTCCCTTTCCCGTCTCCTTCTGTCTCCTTCCCATCGTACATGCACACAGCTGGCGCAGAAGACGGGCGAGCAGGCCATGCGGAGGATGGGGCAGGAGAACCGGCAGCTGCACACACAGCTGATGGGGCTCATCAGGGCACAGACAGGGGCCGTGCAGGTCCGCAGTACCGGTGCGAGTGGGGGCAGCGATGACACAGCAGCTGAGCCCATGGGGCAGTAACCACGTAACGGCAGGTAGGGTGCCTGGGGGGATCCAGATGCTGGCTGCCAGAGCAAGCCAGTCAGGTGAATATGGAAAAAAACCCGTTAGGTTAGATGTTAGAATGGTCGAACACGTTAATTTATAGATGAACATGTAATGCTGGATATTTTAACGTTTGAGAACTGGACGAGGGCGGGATGACTCTGGCAACTTGGCAGGTTGTGTGGTCTCGGCCGGAAGCGCGGGTCGTGATACCGCGGGCATTTGGAGGGAATCCTTCGGAGACGGCATTACGGCGGCGTGTTGAAGCGCAGAGGGGGCAGAGGCCAGCAGGTCGACACGCCAGCAGGCATGCAGGCAGGCACCCACACCCACACATGCACCCACACACGAGGTCGTTGTGGTTGCGGCTACGGTCAATGTTCCGGTTGCTGGAGTGTAGGCTTCACATTGCAGCTCTCGTCGCCACCTACCTGGGGAGCTTTACTAGTCAAGGACTTGGCCCGGGTGGTGGTGGTGGTGGTGGTGATGGTGGTGGTGGTGAGCAGCGGAAGGAGATGTGAGCACTGGGTACTCAATCAATGCGCGAAACGAGAATGTGCACAGCAAAATCCTTTTAGAATCAACGAACATTCGTCCTTTTGTCCTACGCTCCAACACTTCCAACACTTGTTGAGTTCATGCTCATGTTCATGTTCATTTTCATGTTGAGGCCTGTGCTAGGACCAGTGGGCTGCATGTGATGTCAGCCGGAGATACCGGGTCGAGGAGGAGCAGAGCGGCAGCACCAAGCTGACTGCTCCGACGCGCGCCCATTACAACCCCAACACACACTGAGCACTTATCAGAATTTCCTCGAGCAAGGAGAGAGCGAGGGAGCTCCTCCTATACCGCTTCACCTTGCGGGGCAAGCGGAAGGCGGCATTTGTCGAGTATGTCGAGCATGTATGTGTGTCACGTACGTGCGGCGCCTTCATTCATCTGTTCATATGAGGCGCGGTGCTGTCCTCGATGTCGTTGTGTCCGACTGGAGGGCCATTCGCCCTCGGGTCGGCTTCATGTGAATGCGCATGCGTTGTTGCTGCTGCAGGGTCACCGATAGATGATAGTGTTTTTTCCTGTCTCCTCAAAATTATGGAGGGAAGTTCTGCACGTCGGGGCCATGGCACCGTCTCGAGGAGCCCTTGACGTGGGCCAGTTGGCCCGACCGCATATCCTGAGGCGGGAGGAGTACCGGCAGGCGGGGACCCCGAGGGGAACAGTGTGCGTGTGTATGTCAAGAATGTTATATCATCAGCGGGGGGCAGGAACCCCCTGGAACAGCAGCATGTGTGGTGAAGGGGCCGGGACGGGACAGGGGTGGAAGAGCCGGGGTCGTGGCGCGATTCTGGAAGAACAACACGGTCGTGCAACCCTGCGCATGTGAAGCAGTAGCCTGCTGTGGCTTGTTATTGTCCGTTTATAGAGCTTGGTGTTCGCTGTACTCAGCAGTAGAGGTGGTATTAAGTCCTTGGCAAAGTGTGTGACGTGTGTCTGTGTGGGCTCAAGGGTCCCCTGGCCCAGTTCACCTGTCTAGCTATAGTGTAATAGTGTATCGCCAGTAGTTGTCGCATGTACATATTTCTATCCTTGTCTCTGTCATTAAGGCTCTGACACCAAGCACCATCCATGTAATGCAGCACCTCACCTATCAGCAGAAGAACAACCAACGGCTGTACTAATACCTCGCTCAATTGAGCTCAGCGTGCATCAAAGAATCCGATCCCACTTACGCGCTGCCCCGCGAGGAGAGAATGAAGAGACGATGCTGTGATAGACAGTTAAGATACATAGCAGAAAGTTTGGGGGTCGCATTCGCACTCGCATCTGCTCCACTTCCCCCCGTGTGCTTTCGTAGTATATGTAACCCCGAATTGGGTGAGCACCTACGATGAGTGGAAGTGGTACGATCCACACGCACAGTCGTCCTCACCATCTCCGCCAACGCCACAAGGTTAGGGGAGCTCCTGAACATGTTTTGGACCTCGCCATCACACTGCCGTGCATTTTCATGGCGCCTGCCCGACCACACGACCCTAAGTTAGCCGCCACGTACGACGACCTAACGAGCACACATGCACACGTCTATCTCGCAGCAGGCATACAGGTGGCATGCGGAGCCGCAGAACTTTGCCTCTTCGTTGTCTTCGCCGTACCTCCACGTGTACGCTCTCACACATACACACGGACATATGTACATACGCTCTGCATCCGACCCAGTGCGACGTCGAAGTCCACGAGTGAAAGTTTCTTTGCAGTTCGCGCAACGGTAAATACTTCTTCCTGCACGTATTATTTCGCAACGTGCGGATTGTTCCCGTCATGTATGGCATGCATCATGCGAAAAGCTCTCATTCCTGACTCCCTCTCCTCCTGCCTTACTCTTGCACGCCCGCCGGGCTGCCTGCCTGCCTGACAACCCAACCAGGCAGCACTAACCACGAAACATCCCGAGAGCCCCACCCCCCGCCGGGTAGTTAGGTGGGTGGGAGCAACCATCACCCGACTACCCGCACACGCTGCCACCGTTCTGTGTTGACATTGCGGCTGCTGGTGCCACCACTCCCTCCACTTTGTATTGTCCGGGACCTCGCTTCAACAGTTGACCTGTGTGGAGGGTGAGTGCGTGGGTGAGCGAGTGAGCGAGTGAGCAGGTAGCAGCAGAGCCCCGGCACGGCCAAGTTTCGCAGGAAGGGGCCAACACCCGGGCGAGCAGGTCGAGTAAGGATACGTACCCTCACTCACTCACTCACCCTCACTCACTCACCCGCCTCATTGAGCTGGTCCAGAAAGGTCCCCACGTCCCGCACCGCCAGCGCTATCTCATTGGCCAGGGAGGTGAGCTCGCCCACGGAGAACACGCAGCGGCCCTCCCGCGCGGCAAGGCGGTGAAGGGCCGCCATGAAGCGGGAGGTCTCGCCGCTGCGACTGCCCGCCCGCCCACCCGCCTGCTATGTTGCGCCGCCGGGAGGGAGAGGGGAGAGGGCAGAGCAGGGAGTGAGGGGTGGAGTGTGTAAGGGGGGTTAGCGTGGGTTTAACGTACACGCCCTTCGTTCACGGTACGTTAATGTACTGCTTCATTCACACCTTCCGTCGGGAAAGCAAATGCATGCTCACGGCGCCAGGAGGGGGCCGGCCACGGGGGTTGAGGCGCGGGTGTCCCCGCTGCAACTTCTTGGTGGTGGTGGTGGTGGTGGTGGTGGTGTGTGGTTCCTGTGGTCGTGTGACACCCGGCCTCCACTCACTTTCACATTACACAGCGCCATGAACAATCCCCTACAACCATAAGATCAACGACAATAACCGCTAATCCAAGTAACTAAAACAACGACCTGCCTGTCGGTAATCCGTACAGCCGAGGCCCAGATCGCCTCCAAACCTGTCGTACAACGCCTCCCGTACAAGCTCCACGACATCCTCCGCATCCGACTTCTCCACAACCTCGCGAAGTTCGGCCCGAGCTCGGGCTTCAGATAGCCGTACAAGGCTCTCCAGTTGGCGGGCCTTATGTGGTGGTGGGCGGGGGCGGGGGGGGGTGTTGAGGGGTGGGAGGTTACGGGGGACGTCAGCAGGGGCAGGTGTAGAGGGCCTGAAAGGTGAATGTGCCCGTGTGTGTTTTTTGTATGTATGTAAGTGCGTACGTGTATTTAGCGGAAGGGAGCGGAGTGAAATAAGAAATGAACTGCTTCCCCAGGAGCTCTTGAATACCCCACTCCACCCATTCCGACCAACTGGTTTCCTAACCGGCACTGTCCCAACTAACCCCAACCACCTCACCGTTACAGGGTTCTTGGACCCCGGAGCAGCCTGGGCTCGCATCTGTAGGTAGAATGTCTGTTGGGCAGTTGGGCAGTTGGGCAGTTGGGAGATGAGAATGAGGGAATGGCGGGGATGGGGGCGGAAAGGGGTGTTGGGGCCACCAATACGAAGCCGGACCAGGACAATACAAAAACGCGTATGTCTTTACTTTTCTATCTATCTGTCTATCTGTCTGTCTAATGGTTATGTCTCTCCGGGTTAATTGCGGGTTTCCTAGCCTTCCCTTTTCCTATCCCAAACCCTAAACCACTAACCCCTAACCCCCAACCCACCCCAACCCACCCTAGGCCCCCCTTGGGTGTGCACACCTCCCTCCCTCAAACCGCACCGCACCTGGATGACCTGCTTCGCCTCCTCTGAAAGCCGAGGGTGACAGTATGTACGAGCGTACGACACGAACTTTTTCAGGAGCGGTACGGGCAACTGCGCGTTATCATCTGCACTCGCGAGCTTGAGCCGCTGCGACAGTGTCGGCCGGGCCCCGGCTCCGAAACCGGCCCCCAAGTCCACTCCGCTTTCACCCGGCCGACCCCCCGCCAGCCCTTGGGAAGAGGTGGTCGCCTGGCTGGCGGTGAAAGTACCGCTGGCGGTTAAAAAACGGTTGGCCCCGCTTGCAGTCGTGCCGTACTCGATAAGCCTCTGCCGTGCCGCATGCGCCCGGTCTGCAAGTCCTGTGGGGTTCATCACACGTCATCACACATTGCGGTCACCCGACATAAGGCCATCGGGATAGACTCACTGACTTGTCCTTCGGACCTTTTTCCGTGGACGCATGTATATTACTGCATAAACCCTGAGCAGGGTTATAAACCGACTCTTTCACGGCCGTCCCGTTCGTCTCGTTAAGGCAAGGCCGAACGCCGTACACCCGTACGACTTGCCGTACAACCAGTCCATCCACCCAATCCCTCAATACCTCCCACCCCCAACCCCGAAAGTAGCCAAACACACACCCCCCAACCCCCCACCCGAGTGCAGCGCCATGACATGTTCGCTGAGGGCCTGGTCCAGTCTCTCGTCCGGCCTGTCCAGCAGCACGAATATGAGGTCGAAGCGGCTGAGCATGGCGGGGCTGATGCCGCGCAGGTTCTCCGCGAGGCTCTTGGCCCGGCTGTAGTGCCCCCCCGCGGGGTTGGCGGCGGCGAGCATGGAGGCGCGGGCGGGCAGGTTGGCCACCAGACCCGCCTTCGCAATGCTGACCTAGAGGGGGCCGGGGGGGGGAGGCCGGGCAGGGGGGTAGGGGGGTAGGGGGTAGGGTGCGTTTTAAGTCCTAATAATTGTTAGGGGTGGTTGGACTGGAGGGCGGTAAGAGAACGGAGCTGATCACCCCGGGCGTGTGTGTATGTGTGTGTGTAAAGGGGGGAAGGGAGGGGAGGGAGGGGAGGGGAAGACGAGCCACGAACGAGTGAAGCTGCTGCCATGGAAAGAGAAGCAGAACTGACCAGTAAGGCGGTTTTGGTGGCGGAAGGGAAGGGGGGGAAGGGTAGGGAGCTGGACGGCTAGTCAAAAGAGGTACGGCAGAGTGCTGTTG